CCGCCCCCAGTCAAGACTATTTCCGCAAAGTCAAAGGGCAAGAGAAAGTCAAAGGGAAGAACTTCTAAAGAGGGCAGCTCCCGAGACTGGGGCTCAGCTTCTGAGCGACTGGAGGATGGGAAGGTTGATATGAGCCATGGCGATCCGCTCTTCCGGTTGATGCAGACCTTGGTCAGTTGGTGGAGGCAGAGGTTCCGTGCATCAGCCCCTGGTCTTCGCAAATGGGGTTACATGTCTCTTGAACGTTTAGACCGTTTGACGAAAGCCCATAAAGAAAATTCATCTGACCCTGAGCGCTTCGGTGAAAAGCTGTCGTCCATCGAAGAATTCCGAGAATGTGCCCGAAACTGCCGCGGGAGTAGAGATGTTGGGTCTCAATTATTCACCGCCCTTCTTCGAGGACTTGGACTTGAAGCACGCATGGTTGCCAACCTCCAGACACTCGGATTTGGTTGGAGCAAGCTGGAAGATGCTGAATTAGAAGACGAGGAAGGGCCGAGCACAGAAAACTCTTCGCCCAAAAAAGTTCCTAAAGGCAAGCCAACTAAGACAAAGGCTACGGCATCTAAGAGCGGCAGGGGTTCTTCCCAATCAACCACTACCCGAGCACGATCGAGCAAGAAGAATCAGGCGAACCCCATCGTCATAGACGACTCTGATGAACTCGATCTAGAATACAAGGACTCGGATGACGAATCAGTTATGGAGCTGGATATCAGGCCTAAAACGCCTAAGGCTCCTTCCAAAAAATATGATTCAGACCTTGAATATCCTCATTATTGGACAGAGGTACTCTCTCCAGTCACGAATACTTATTTACCAGTTGACCCGATTGTGAAGAAGATTATTGCAACGAACAGAGATCTAATAGAAACGCTTGAGCCTCGTGGAGCCAAGGCTGAGAAGGCTCGGCAGGTCATGGCCTACATTGTCGGGTTTTCACAGGATGGGACGGCAAAGGATGTGACAGTACGATATCTGAAGCGCCAAGTGGTGCCAGGTCGGACAAAGGGGGCGAGGATGCCTCTAGAGAAGATACCCATCTACAACCGTCATGGAAAGGTCAAGCGGTATGATCATTTTGACTGGTTCAAGACGGCAATGGCGGGGTACCGCCGAGGAAGCCGCCAAGCCCCCGTGACAGAAACAGACGAGCTAGAGGATTCGACTGCTTTGCGGCCTGCAGAACCTGAGAAGAAACAAGTCAAGGAAGGCGCTGAGACTCTGCAGTATTACAAACAGTCCAAGGAATTTGTGTTACAACGCCATCTGAAGCGAGAAGAGGCTCTCAAGCCAGACTCCAAGCCTGTGAAAGTATTCAAGAACAAGGCCAAAGGAGGCAAGATGGAGGAGGAAGATGTATTCCTTCGCTCTGATGTGATCAACGTCAAGAGTGCCGAGACTTGGCACAAACAAGGCCGAGCACCTCTCCCGGGCGAGCTGCCTTTGAAACGAGTTCCCTACCGAGCGGCCACGATCAACCGTCGTCGAGAACTTGAAGAAGCCGAAGCAATGACGGGGAGGAAAGTTCTACAGGGCCTTTTCAGCAAAGAACAGACAGACTACATTATACCTCCACCGATAAAGGATGGCATCATTCCAAAGAACGAATACGGGTACGTGTTGTTGCATACTTGTGTGGTTTACATGATTCGTTGCTGACCGGGCGTAGAAACATTGATCTTTTCGTCGAACACATGTGCCCGCAAGGGGCAGTTCATGTACCATTTAGAGAGGCCATCAAGGTCTGCAAAAAGATCGGTATCGACTATGCTGAAGCGGTTGTGGACTTTGAATTCGGCCATCGCATGGCAGTACCAGTAATACAAGGCGTAGTTATCGCGGAGGAGAATCATGAGATGCTCATGGAAGAGTTGGAAAAACACGAAGTCGAGCGTCAGCGAAAGGAAAATGAAAAACGTCGCAAGGCAGCCCTTGGGAAGTGGAGGAAGTTCCTCATGGGTCTTCGAATCGTCGAGCGGATACGGCAAGATTACGGAGAAATCGACGAGAGCGTTTCGGTATTTGGCCACAATAGAGGGGGCCAGCCCGCTAAGGAAGCACAGCCAGGGCAGGATGAGGATATGGCTGGTGGGTTTCTTCCTGAAGGATACGAAGAGGACATTGAGGACGAAACATCTTCGCACCAAGCATCCAGTTTCTTCCCTACTGCTGCCGAGGAAGAGGATGGCGGCGAGCATGATGGTTTGGTGATGGAGAGCCACGTCGAAGAGGCATGGTAATTAGCGGACCGAATCGGGTAGTCGTGCTGTGGTATTTCCCCCAAAATAAAAATCTGAGAGAAATGTCATTTTGCAGATAGAATTTTCATCATAAAGCTTAATAACCCAAAGAAAAATTTTGTAACAACAAAATCATTCGTATTTTTGAAAGTTGGGTTAGAAATGACTGGTTGATCAGGAGGCATGATTTAGGGTAGGACGTGCATTGCTGGGCTGGAATGCGGTTACCCACGGGCACCACATATAACCCGAAAGTGTAAAAATAGAACGGTAACTTTCTTATTTTACTAACTTACGAGAATGGATATAATATAAGCTCTGGACGCCAGAGGCTGAAAAATGCGCGTGAATTTCCCGTTTCCATCTCGTTGCTCACTTCCGAGATAATCAATCTGCAGGGTTGGGCTAGTCACTACCTACCTTGTAAGTAGGACTCTCCGTATTCGTCAACCAAAGTTTGCTCGTAGAACGTTATTGCGGCCTTCGTTTAAAAATTTCTGGAGTTTTTTAGAAATCCGAACGTTCCATGCTGGGTGGAATATCAGAGTGAGTCGTAAAAGTAGGTTCTATTAGAAAAAGGGGAACATAAGCTCGCCTTTATATCGTATCGGTGGCAATCACTGCATGTTTTTGATCACCTAAGAGCTTGATTCTACTGCGCCATGAAGTAGTTTCAATTTTACTTTCCTCTAGAACCGGTAATATCCTTATTCAAACCACATATTCTCAAGCCATATAAGTCTAGAATGGCCTGACTTGGACCATCCCGGGCAATAACTTTAGAAAAAGAATTTGAGAGTGGGACACTCCTTTTTGGTCATCTGTGACTCTGCAAACTTTCACTGGCGAGAGTGCATCACGGACATTCGGAAACAGCTCTTACCTTGGCTGATACTTTGTGAAGCCCGGTGGAGTAATATCTGCATGGGCAAAGAAGCCCGTGTTTCAGTATTGGAAATTCTGTAAAAATCCGAAAGTCAATGCAGTGTATCGGGCGGTAACGCCAAGGTGAAGTCACAGTAAAATTAACTTGGGAAGCAGTAGCGGAGAGAAAAACTAAAACATAGGAGGAGAGTCAGAATGGTGACGCAGAGTTATGATATCAAAGTACAGCTTGTAAGAAATCAATGGCTCAAGCCCCATTGGGAAGGGTTGGTGTGATATGCAGAAGTTGGTTTAGTGTGATGGGAGCCTTTCAGCTGCAGCTAGCTACGTACGTATGCGGCAGGCCTGCAGGCGGGCCAATAATCTGCCCAACTAGGGATAATGACTGGGACAAAAGCAACTATAGCCGTCAGATGCTTTGATTGTCGGGGAGGACCACTTTGACTAGGTACCGGGATATGGAGCATCCATGACACAAGCGTGAGGGCATCTTCACACTTGTAGATCGATTCAGTGGGGCATCGGATGCAGGTTTCCCTGTCTGCACCTCACGGGTGTGTGCAACAATCACTGTGCTTGGTCTGGGCTGCATGCCTTAGCAGTGTCAGCTATCGATGGATGGCTGGCAAATGAAATGCCCAGGTGTGCCATATTGATATATGTTTCTCCCTGCCTCCACTGAGGTCAGTGTAATGGTCAGCTGCATTTGGGGGGATTGTCATAATGAGACCACTTGGTCCAACTCCTCCTTCCTCCTTCTACCTATCCATCTCGGTTCCGATTCTCTCGTTCAGCCTAAAGGTAAAAAAACTGATCGGCAGAGCTGAGGTCTACCTACCATCCGAACAGCGATCGGTCTCTGTGTGCTGCGTCTTCGCTTAGATGCTGGGAGGGGGGCACGAGGGGTCGATCCCGCATAAAAGAGAAGCCGGCTGCAATAATCTCTACACGCATTTGGCTCAAGGCATGCGCACGCAGCTATTGTGTTGAAGTCGCAGCATCCCCAGTTGAAACCTGCATGGTTCATCTCGATTCCTGCTCGTATCGCAGCCGGTTGACGGACGTTTGGTCATCGTCAAGCGGTGGTCTGTCGTAAGGTGTCGTGGCTGGGAGGTAGAAAGGATTTACTAAAGGTTGTTGTGCATGACGCAGAGAGCAACCTGAATTGTGCCCAGTAAGTTCACTTCCAGATATTTACAAACTGGTCATCTTGCTCTTGATTTGTTTGCAGAGCACCAGACGCCCCCAACTGCCTGCACACCCCAGCAAATTGCCCAGCAAATAGCCACTGATTGCCACAATACCGGTCCTTCCTTCGTTCCCGCTTGCACTGGGCGGACAGGCTGAGCGAGATCAAGAGTAAATTTTGCTGGCTCGAAGTCCGCATGCTGTGTAGAGGGATGCGGGTAGCCTTTGTGTTACTGCTCGCCACGGCTGTTTCGGGCAGTCGCGCTCCAACTCACGTTGCCCATCACCGTGCTTCTTTCTCCCTCGAATTTCCCCAGCTTCCCTTCACCAGACCTGTCGGTCGTGTTTCTGCGTTTTATTTCATTTCTTATTTATTTTTCTACTGTCTGTGTCTACCTAGCAAACACTGCTGCCTTTTCGCGTCGGTGGTTCACTACCTTCTTGCCACAACAAAGAGTAAGGCCCTGAAAGTGGAGGGCATTGTTGGAGATATGAAGGCACTTGTTGACCCTTTTCTTCGCGTCTCTAACCCAACATCAGCATAGGAAATTATCAAACAAAAAAGTTGCAGCTCCCGCAAGACCACGAACCCCGCAAAACGGCGCCTGATGCCCCCCCGTCATTCCATTTGTTGAGAAAGCGGCACGATAATTATTCTCTTGGTTAGCTTTATCTATTAATGAGATGGAAATTCTAGGTCCATCAAGCATCAGAGAATTCATTCAGAGGGTATCTTCAGTCTTTCCTGGCATTTCCTCCGAATTCCTTCAATCTCTTGGCGGGAGCTTTCGTCACGATACAGAGGCTGCGATCAACCATTTGATAGATGAAGAAGAGCATGGAAGGCCATACCGAAGGTCGCAGATGAAACAAGCCAACGGTATGAAGCGAAAGCGCGACGAAAACGTTTATCCTCTTGAGCTAGAGCCCCTTGCGGTCGGCGTTGCCGAACAAGGCCATGATGGACCTCGGATTGTCCCAACCTCTCCAGATGAGAGACTGGCTCTGTAAGTATCGTGAAAAATATCCCTTTCTTCGCTTCCTTTAGATGAACTCTATCACGCCCCCGGGAGCCGCCGCTTGGATCCTTTTGGCTTCGTATCCCCCAGAAAGCTAATAGTTCGCTTCTAACCTAGTTCTAAACTTCTACACCAAGAATACCCTTGTGTACCGCACGAAGAAATTGACAAACTCCTCCTCGATCACCAATACTGTCTGCGATCGGCGTATTTTGCCCTGGACACGCTTGTGTATACATGGTACACTCTTCCAGAGAAGCCCTTCGTGATGGTGTCGGACCCGTCAAGTATACAAAAACCGTTCTTGAACCCGCGAAACCACCAAGCGATGATATCCGTTCTCCGAGCCGCGAAAGGCTTCAAGAAAAAGGTTCTCCAGGAGCTTTTCGTGTGTTGGAAGATGAGGTATGCATTTCATGAACAACGACAGGGCAAGCCATCTAAGAATATGGCGAGAGACAATACCGAGGTCGTTGTCGGTGAAGATGTCATAGAGTGCCAATGCTGTTTTATTGAGTGCCCCTTGCACCAGATGGTACATTGTGAAGGGGAAGTCACCCACGTTCGTCTACCATTTCCTAAAGCATTCCGGGTGTTTGCGTCTCTGACACTTGCTTAGTTTTTCTGCGTTCAATGCATACGCCAATACGTGGGGACCTTGATTGGTCTTTCGAAGCACGAGCTTGTCTGCATTTCTATGGACAAGTGCGATGCTGGCTTCTCACAAGCGGAACGAAGTAAATTTCTGGACGATAAACTGACCAAAGCATTGGACAAGATTGAAGCTGCTGCCGTGCTTCTTTTGGCGAACTTGGAGGGGCTTGTGCACTGCCCCTTTTGCAACTACGCAGCACAGTGTCCACCCATCGAGGAGGATAGAGAATTCCGATGCGCGAATTCTGAGTGCGAGATTGTGAGCTGTCGGCTCTGCCAAAAAGAGACGCACACCCCACAGACTTGCGATGAATCCGCCAGAGAGAAAGGGTACTCTGCTCGGAGAGAAATCGAAGAGGCCATGTCTGCTGCACTGATACGGAAGTGCAACAAGTGTAAGTCAAACGAGCTGCAGAATGACGTGGATATTGCTGATATGAAAGCTCAGGCAGAACACCTTTTGTCAAAGACATCGGGTGTAACAAGATGACCTGCCCAAAACAGGCATGCCGAAATGTCCAATGCTATATCTGCTCCAAAAACTGCGATTATCGACACTTCAACGACCCAAACCGAGGAGGGAAGAAGGGGAACTGCCCGCTATTTGACAAGAATGTAGAGAGTCGGCATGAGTCGGAAGTTAAGAACGCCGAGGACGCTGCAAGAGAAGCAGTATCACTGAAACAACCGGATGTTGACCCCAGTCTTCTCAAATTCGACATGTCAAGCCGCGTTTTCGAAGACGACAAACGTCGAAAACAAGGGACTCTACGCCCTCGGGGGCATTATCGGGGAGCTCGTAGATTAGAAGCAGAGCCTCTCCGAGAAATCGCACTGCCAGCCATACCTCATAATTTGGCACAATACCAGGAGCAATTTCATCAGAGAGAACTTGTCCGGCAGAGGCAGAGGCCACAACCTGCGGTAGCTCCCCCAGCTGTCCCGGGTATTGCACCATTCAATCCAATTGTGATACCCGATGACCCTGCGCCGGCAGGACGTGTGGCAAACTGGCTAGGGAGTATCCCATTTCCCGCCCCCCAGAGAGTTGGACCAAATGGCCAAGTGGCAAGAAAACTGTTTGACATTGCTGCTGACATTGATCCTCTGCCTGGAGGTGGAGGTGCGGATATTTATGACCCTTTGATTGGGCAAAAAGTCAATGCTCCCGCTTCTGCAGAGCGTATCCTTCGAGAAGTGCCGCAGCATAATCCACGAGTAAACGAATATCTTGAAGCACAGGCCCGGGTGAGGGCTTAGAGGGCCGAATTGGAGGTATTGCGGCGTCAAGGCAGAGTTTCGGATTAGCCCCAACGCCGCGAATGGGCTCAAATTGGTGGCGGTATGAAAACATTGAAGCAGGCTATAAACCAATTTACCCTTGATGTATATTAGCCTAAGGCTAAATGGAGGGATATGGTTGTTATCAGCGTTTTCCTTTTTCACGAGCTAGGTATATCGAGATTGAAACCCCCGAGTTATGTCAAAATTGGAACGAAATTTGGCCTGAGGGATCGCATAGGAGGAGCCGGTTTGGAATCCAAATTGCCAGTTTATTACAATTTTCAAAGTTTGCATCACTTCCAGTCCGGGTCCAGTAACATTTTACAGCTGTTTTGTTCGTCATTATTCCTACCTATTTCTCCCAAAGCGCTCGTGCCATTTGCCTTTGCTGCCAGTGTTCTTCGCAGGCCCTGCAGGTTCCAATACTGTCGCGGGGTCTTTCACAGCCTCAAGATCAACCGTCTCTTTTATGGTGGAGATGAGCGCCATGCCCTCTTCGGGGTTGGATGGATCGGGGGTGTGCGGCTTCAGGATGATGAGGGCATTGGATGTGTTCTTTTGGCGCAGGGCGTAGGTCTTGTCGGCGGTTCTCAACAGGGCTGAGGATGGGGAGGATTCGAGAGTCAGACTACCGGTCATGAAGGCGAGTTGCGATTAGCATGGTTGACGTCTAGGGGAGAGTGTGGGGGCTAGGCAGGAGCGGGAGGCCACTTACACAGGGGCCTGGTCGCTTTCGAGGAGGGTTTGAAGCTCGGGAGGGAGTTCGATGAGCCGGTAGCCGACGTCGTCGGGCAGGTTGAAGAGGGGGACGCCCCTAGTCTGGCTGGATGACATGGTTGGAGATGGGTGTTGTTGCTATGTGGACTGGCAATGCTTATTACCATAGTGGAATGTTGTTTACTTGGGCGGGGGAGGGGCAGTCCAGAGATGGCCAATGGGAGGTATTAAGAGGCAATAAGGCTGCTAAGAAATAAAATGGAGGCTGCCGGCGGCGGGGTGTTTCATAGGCCAGATCAAAAAGCTTAATGGGGACGCGTCTCAACGCGCCGTAAAGGGAAACCCCACTGGAAATCTCGAGGCCCTGGCGCATTGCATCGGGCGCCGCTTGACCGCCTAGCAGTGCGGCCCTAACGGTACCACCAGCCAGGGCAGAAGTGGACTTGCGCCATCGAATCCATCCTCCGGGGACAACTTTCGGGCTCCTGTATCCCTACATTCGCTTGCCGTCGCGCACTCCCCCTCCTTGTGTGTGTCTTGTATGTGTGTGTGTGTGTGTCGACTCGGGTTCAGTGTGACACATCTTTTCTGATCGCCGGCCTGCATGTGGTTGTTGGTCACACGAACCTTCTGACGCGCGATCCCAATGTTTACCTTTTGTTGATAGCGGCCCACCACACCTAAACAAAGGCTTCAATTGGCAACCAACGATCGATCCGACCGACTTCGAACGAGCGCGGCCCACGAAGCGGCCCGCGAACGACAGTGTATAGTTGCCGGAGGGCCATGACTTGGGCCTATTGACCAGACCATGGTGCGTGTCACGGACGAGGTGCTTCTCTCGGCAGAGCACCTTACTCTTTACCATGCCTCGGATCCTCTTCTCGGGCACCAGCCAATTCTCATCTTCCACGGACCGTCGACGACTGCCAATTACACCTTGAATAGCTCTCGAGTCCAGGTCCATGTCTTTACTCCCGCCGGGTGCCAGTCTTTCCCCCGGCTTACTATCTCACCAAACTCTCCATTCTACTCCGTCGTCAACTACCTCCCCCGCGAGTTCCAGGGCGACGAGGTCTACAGAGGACTCGCCTTTGGTCTATTCAAATATTTCACTGAGCTCCCCGATGGCGTCAAAAGTTACCTGAGGAATTTATACCCCACTAGGGGACGACGGCCGGGTAGCGCACCGGCGTTATTCGGCGATCAGCATGCGGCAGACCTGGTGGCCTCCATGGTAACGAGCGAGAACGGCTCCGAGGTGATCTCTGTCCTCCAGGAAGCACTTCAGACGCAGCACCTCAACAATGTGGATATCGACCTGGTTCTGCCCCCAGGCGCAATTGTTCCCCTACAGCCCGAGGATCTGGAGGAGGTGCCGGATGATGAGGACGGGCTCTACGACCCCACGCTGCGCCAATATGGAGGGTACACTCCACTTGTTAAGGTATTCGGAGACCCCGTGTTCCTACCGACAAGCAAACTTAGGCGAGCGCCCTCGAAACCGACAGCGTTGAACCGTAATAAATCTTTCACCAAGGATCAGAAGTCCGAGTTGCGAATGAAGCTGAGTGAATTGGTTGATACGGAAGACCGCTATGTACATAAACTAGGGGAGTTGGTCCAGCACATTGCCAATGACTTTCGTGAGTCTGCAAAGAAACGGGCCCCGGAGAGTTTGAGTCCGTCAGAGGAGGAGCTTGAGAGACTGTTCCCCAGGTCTGCGGATAGTATTCTTCAGATGAATTCGGGTTTCAGAGACGAGCTGAAGAGAATCATGGATGAGACGGAAGACGAGGCATGCAAAGATATGGAGGTCTCTACAGTCAACTTGCTGGGTTCGAAGCTGGGCGCAAGCGGGCGACACAGGGACCCCAGTGGCGCCCTTGCCATTGCCCGGTTGTTCTTGGAGTGGTTCCCTAAGTTTACTGGATGCTATCAGGACTACATCAAGGCAAGCCAGCATTTCCCGACTCTCCTCAACTCGTTCCTCGATCAGCAGTCAAGCTTCAAGCAGAGGGTGGCTCAGAGAGGAGAGCAGGCCATGCGCTCGATTCTCATCGAGCCAGTCCAGAGGCTCCCGAGATACAGCTTGCTCATTGACCAAATTGTTGGGTGTCTCCCGATTACACATCCTGCGCTACAGCCTATGCTCAAGGCTAGGGATGTTATTACGAACATTTGCTCAATGGACGAGCCCTTGCCGGACAAGCCCCATATCGCCAGCCGATTACGCAATATGGTTGAATCGTGGCCCATGGATCTTGAACCCCGAGGGCGGTTGGTTTTAGCCGCTGATTTCATCGAAGTCTTGCCGCCATTCCAAGTGGCATCGAATGCATCTGACAAACCGGGCATTTTCCTCTTGTTCTCTGACTGTATTGTTATCCTAAAGCGGGTGAGTGGCACAATGTCTGGACGTGACTTGGTCAGAGAAATTGAGAAACCATCTGCTGCTGGCTTGTTGATATCAATGACCAACGCCGCGGGCGGCCCAGCCAACTATGAGTTCGTCTTCACTGGTTGGCATAATCTTGCCGATGCCCGATTTAGCGAGTCCGCCGATGGGTCGTTAGTCTGGATGACATCCACCCAAGATATGAAGGGCGCTCATGCTGGTGAGCACCGCATTAGCAAAGCTGTCACCTCGCGTTGCTTCCTCTTCACCGAGACTATGCAGGGAAAGGCTGCTAAATGGGGGGAGGACGTTGTAAAGGCCCGCGTCGAGGCACGATTCTCTGAAGCTGAGCGAGAGGACCCATGCTGGACGCTGCGGTCGACACGCATGCCCGATAGCAATCTTGGTCTGCACGCTGCAGTATTCCAAGAAGGTGCCGACCAGCTCGTTGAAGGCCGCCGAGAACCTGCACCAATCCGCGTGGTGGTCGACAACGAGAAGGGCACTAAGGGGGCACCCGTGGGTCATTATGGCGTTGAGATTGTTGTCGAGGTCAGGAGTAACGATATGAAGCGGGTATCGATGACAACTGTCGGCCTGAATGGAAAGGAATTCCAGGATCCCGACATTGCGATCGAAGACTTCTTGCCAACACTCTCACGGCGAAGTAAGTGCTACCTTTGGTATTATCTCCATCGTGTTGACCTACACTAACTTTTTCTACTAGTTATCCAACTCCTTAGCATCCAGTTCAGTGTTTCGAACATGCAGCTTACGGCCGCGATGGTCTCGTACTACTCCAAAACTCTTCGGCAGCTCCCTCTGGCCACCCGCGCTGAAAAGACTCGTTCTTTCCTTGCAACATCCCCAGTCAAGATCTTCTCAAGCTTCTGGGCTGGGGGATCAAACCAAAATCAGAATGGTGGGGAGCTTTCAACATCTGGTTCTAGAAGCGGACGTGCTCTGTCTATCCATCGCAACAACAGCCAGCACTCATTCCTTAGCTCCTTCGGTTCACTTCGAGGTAAAGACGGCGACAAGATTTCAACCGAGGAGATTCGTCCGGAGAATCCTCTTGTCCGTCTTGAGCGGACCTTTGTCGGGTACGTCGCTGCTCTACAGTCTCGCAAGGGTCTCATCATTGGACGTACACTACTGAACCGTGCCATGACGGACGAACTCGTTGTCAATGACTTTTACAATAAGTTGATTGAGATGCCTTATGAGATTGAGGCCGCTTCGGAGCTTGTCTCAACCGAAGTTATCTTCGTCGCCTTCGAGAAGTTCCTCAGAATTGCTTGGTCTGAGCAAATGGGGCCTGTCATGTCCATGCAGTCGATGAATACACTCCAGGAGCGTGCCAACAAAAAGGTTCCTGGGGAGTTTGCTGATTTTGTCAACTTCCTGTTTGGAGATATGGCGCCGCAGAATCGGAGAGCCTTTACTTCAATGATCAAGCTCCTCGCTGATCTGTTGGATGGATGCGGGAATGACAGCGATCGAGGAGCATTGACTCTTGCATTCTCTGAGCTCTTAGTCTATGATGGATCTGCTCCCAACTACATCAACTTGCTTGACCGGCTGGTTGAAGACTGTGACCGTATTTTCGAGGAGCCGGGTCTAAATCACAGCTTTAACCTCGGCAGCCAGGCGTATGAGTCTATCAACTCAGCTATCCGAGGAAATAAGTCGTACACGGGATCCGTCACATCAAACACATCGTCCTTGCGACGGAAGTTTGGTTTTGATACCTTGCTCCGCCAGAATAGCAAGGACGAGCGTTCATCTGTCTGGCGAACATTGAGCAAGCATCGAAATCCTGCTACTGGCGAGACATCGACTCTTACTCGGACACCTATAGGCCGCGCTGAGACGTTGGATGATGGTGCGCTATCCAAGAGGATGCTTCGTCGTCCGGGATCTCGCGATCGACCCCCCATTGCCGGGGCTTTTGACGACTCTAGTCGCCCTCCAAGCTCCTACCGACTTGACTTTTCGCTAAGCACAATCGGCGAACCTGATAATGAGATGGGGACAGTGCGACCCAAGAAGAAGCGCCGGAGCTCTCTGTCAGATCTCAAGAGTCTGATGGCCGCGGCTACGCTGACCGACGACGATCAAGAGCAAGAGGCAGCCAAGCCCGAGCCGCAGCCGCAACCGCTGCAAGACACGAAGCAGACATCAGAGAAGTTCAACTCCAGCCCAAGAAGCCCCAAAGCACCGTCGCCTTCAAGGATCCCGATTAGTAGTCCCAGCGCATCCCAGAGTCTCCGGTCGCCAAGGCAGAAAGAGAATGTGACGGATTACTTCCAGGGTGTGGCTCCTTCGACCGGGGGGTCCCCTGCCAAGCGGGAGTCCCCCTCCAAGCACCGGCACTCCAAGACACTCTCCACTTCCAACATACCTACGCTGAGACCGGCCAGGTCGAACTCTACAGTCGACTCGCCCACGCGCCGTGGCTCGGTGTCGACGAGTCCTACACGCTCCCCTCAGAGGCTGCGCCTGCAATCGCCACAGAAATTACGCGAACGGCTGGCGACGGAGAAGAAGGCGCTGGAGGAGGTCGACACAGCGCTCAGATCCGAGCTCTCAAAGATTGGAGAAGAAATGGCACGTGTTAATAATGCCAGCCTCTCTAGCTCCCAGGGCGGCGGCGACGCGGACCCTAGACGCCTATTGAACAGGTTCAAGGCCCTAGAGGCCATGATATCTGAAACCACGCTGGAGCTCGGGGACAAGCAGTCCTCGCTCCAGCGGGACATGGACAGCACGCTTAAGGCCTCCGAGGCCAAGGTCAAGGCCATCGACCAGCTCTACAAGGAGACGAAGGCCGAGAACGAGCTCCTCTACGAGAAGTTCAACGAGGACCTAGGCAAGATTGTCCAAGCTATCAAAAACAAGGGCAAGGAGGGCAAGGAGGAGCTGATGGAAAAGCTCAAGAAGCAGAGCGAGGAGACGGCTCGGATGAAGAAGGAGGTCGCGAGACTCAACAGAGAGAATTTGAGCCTGCGGGCGGCGCTGAAGGGGACGGCCGAATAAGTGATTCTCTCCCTGGCAAGGCCCGTGATGGTGGCCGTTGGGTGCTGTTGGTTATGTGATGATGATTGATGGGGGTTTTATGTAACACGGTCAAACGGAGGGGGGCGGGAGGAAGGGGTATCCGTTTCTGGCATCATTTATGGGAGCTTTGTTTTGGAGGCCTTTTTTCTTTTAATTCGGTTTGGGTTTCATGAGGGTAGCTAATGGATTTTGACGACTTTGTTGGCATGTTTGCTGTATTTTAGGCAAAGGGAGAGAGGTCTGCGGGCATGATCTGAAAGACGAGACGATGGGGGTGTGGGAACACAAGCACGAAAATATGTCTACGGAAGGAAAAAGGTTGATGTTGGTAGACTTGATGAATGCGATGTGTTACGATGATTATGATTATGTTTGCTTTTCTTGTGGTGGTGCCGTCTTGACCCTGTGTGATAATGCAGCAGGAGTAGTCGAAGTAGATGAGGCCTTTAGCGCAGGCGCAGGCGTCGGCCTTGGTTTCGACTTTGACGTTGACTGTGATTTTGATTTTGACCCTGACGTTGACTGTGACTTTGATTTTGACTTTGACGTTGACTTTGTCCTGGGTTTTGAGATCCGGGTTGGCTTTTTCTCGCTCTCCTGGACGGGCACGTCCTTGAACTGGACGCGCTTCCCAGACCCGGGCGTTTTCTTCAGAATGGAGGGCAGTTCCTTGGGTTCCGACACAGGGCCCGCGGGATTTGGCTTCGCGTCGGGCTTCTCTGCCTCGGGCTTCTTCTCCGCGGGCTTCGCCGGCTTCTTGAAGAATGGAGGTCTGGGCTTTGACAGCTCCGCCCAGCATTCGAAGAACATGGGCCCCGCCTGGACGGCGCGGACGGGAGCCATGGTCTCCGTGCGCCGTGCCGGGATCTTACCTTTGACTTGACGCTTCTGTTTCTGTTGCTGGTTTTGTTTCTGCTTATCTTGCAGTACGGGATTTAGCCTCTGCCGATTTGGCGGTGCTGCTATCCATGGGCGGGGATGCTTGGGATAGAGTTAGTTTCTTTTTTTTAAGCTGATTCATGGAAATCATGTAGTTGTAGAGCAAGAACAGGACACTCACCGTGGCCGGGGCAGGCGTCCCTTTACGGATATCCACTGCCAGTGTGAAAGTACACCCCTTGGGTAAGGCGGGCAGCCTCTCAGCCACATACGAGAGATTCCTGAGGGCGCCCCTCAACGCCTCATTGACATCAGTCCAATTGATTAGCTCCTCTTCCTCCACGTCGTCGTCGGGTAATTCAATCTCTCCTTCTTCGTCACCCTCCTCCCCTTCTTCCTCGATCACATCATAACCATAGATTGGTTGCTCCTCCTCTTCCTCCTCCTCTTCTTCCTCATCAGCCTCCACCCCGTCATCATCACCAAGCCTGTCGTCCTCATCCACGGCGGGTTCGGCGGACGGGTCCTGCCAAGCCGGGAAGGAACCCACGTCGAAGACCCACCTCTCTAGCACGGAGAACGAGTCCGGCGCGTGGATGACGAAGACGATCTTCTCAACGGTCGCGCGCGTGAGCTGGACCTTGACGGCGGACACGGCGTCGAGAACCCATTTGCAGACCTTGGGGTGGCGGGACTGGTGAACGGGGAGGTTGTACGCCCGCGCGGTGAGGAAGGTCGTCTGCGGGTAGAGGGAGCGGTAGTAGAGGAGGGAGTGGATGGAGAGCGTGAGGAAGGAGGTGAAGGAGGAGAGGAGCTCTGAGGCTTCGGAGGCTGGGAGGGAGGTGGCTTCCGTGGCCTCCTCCGGAGCGGCGGCCATGGCTTTTGGCGGGGGATTACATGTATGATTGCGCTTTTGGAGTTGCGGCGCCTGGAGGGAGAGATCGTGAATAGGCAAGCCGGGGGTGACGCGAGTTGAACACGAGGTCACGTGAGAGCCTTTGGAGTTAAGCCATTGCGTCATTGTTCGCTAACCAATGCATCTACACAGGTATAGGGTGGTTGGTGGCCAAATTTCTGCCTGGTCAAGACCAAGGTAAATGGAAAAATAAACATTTTGATATTTGGTCTTGAACTCGATTATACAGATTGCAGGAGGTCTGAGGCTTTCTCAGCACTTATCAAGTCTATGAATCAGGAGTTCCCGCTCCAAAACATCTCTAATGAGTTGTAACATCATCTTTGGGCGAAGGTGAGCTTAGACATCGTGTTGGGGATTCACACAAGTACAATGGTGGTCGTGGTTGTCGCCGTAGCCTCCAACCAGTTTTCCATCCTGGCAATGTTTAACGTCTGTGTATTCACATAAGAGAGCATAAAATATGGCTACCGTAATGAGCTCGGAGCGAGTTTCCATGATGGTTTCCTCGTCCTGCAGAAAGTGTTGCCGAGCACACTATCGCAGGTCGTATATTGCTGCCTGGGTATCATGTCAGCGCCTGGCCAGAAGAGAGATGGACGCGCTAAGAGAGAAAATCAATGCGGAAGAGAGCCTCTGCCTAGTTTGATAAATATTGCTTTACCCCTGCGGCAATCGCAAAATACTTACTGTTTATGGACTCTTGAAGTGGTTCTGGGCAAAAGTTCCGCAGTTCTTACTACAAAGACCAGGATGTGTCATGCGATTATGATCAGCAAAAGCTGGACAGCCCGCCGTGCTTGAAGACTCACAAATTCTTTTTGCTAATGTATTCTGAGCTCACATCAACCTTGATTTGCTTAGGCTGTGAGGTCAACTTGTCTTCAATCTTTAACTAGCTAATGGACAGACCCTTTCATCCTTCCTCATACTTCCCTTGGTTTCTGAATTGTATACCTACAAGATGAACGTACCCTTGGTGTACACAGGGTTCTGGATAAACCACAATGGTGCGTGGAAAAAGTATGTCCTACCGCAACACGATTTCTCTAACACCACTAGGTAGAAGCTGGTAGCCTCCCTGGTACGGGTCTCACCCTCACCGTCCCTTTAAAATGGGACAGCATTGGTCTGTCACTCTTACAGGGCTTTATTCTTTCTATTTGTCTAATAAGTTTGGATCTCTGTATTTTGGATACTGTCCGTTATTACAGATCTTGGCCCAGGCTGGGCGTTGCACAGGGCCATCAACAGCAGGCTCGTGCTTCTCATTCTACCGCAGCGGCATTCGCCGTCCTCAGATTGTTCAGATCGATCTGGATATGGCTAGGGAAGATACCTGGTATTGGTTTGCTGGCGTACGCCCTATATATAGTCATCAATGCCGCCGCTTTTGTTTCCTACTGGGGGGGGGGGTTCCAAAAAGCGGGCGATGTGTTATTGGTTGATAATAAATGCGGCTGGCCTAATGGCCCTGAAACAGAGGCTGTGGCGAGCTCATGGTCTCGACATGTTCTGGCTCAAGGTCAGGAATACGCTCGTAACTGCTACACTCCGGGATTCTTTCCTTGTTGCAGGAAACCTTGCAACGTCGACACACCCACACTCTTGCGCAGCTTCATAGGTGATGCGGCGCCGTGTCCCTTTTCAGAAGATATTTGTGGTCAAACTACAGCATTTGAGATTGAGACTCCGGAATTTGGGATTGGCGCCCGGGAGTACATGAACTCTAACGAACATTTCGGTATAAACACTGCCAAGGATGGCCAACTCCGTTTCCGCTCAGTTACGAAATGTGTCCCGATATTAGCCGAGGAAAAACACTCGACCCCATGGTTTGAGGTTGCATGGGACACACACAAAGAATATAACTTGGGGCCAACGGAATCTACTAGTTTCACCTGGGTGGTGCGCAAATCTTTGGTTCCGAAGCCTCAACCAACTATGAAGAACTTCTCCCCCTACGAGTTGAGGTAAGCCACAGAGGGACTTCTTTAAGCTGAAACATGCAACACTAACTGAGCAATAGAGCACTGGCATCCTACGCTGGCTTCCACGATAACACATCAATTTCAGACTTCTCACCAATAGATGACCTCATGGTGCCCCATGCGGACATCACAGTTCTATATCTGCTGAATATCGCCTTATACAGTAACGTCACCGAGGACCCCTGGTTCCAGGCTACCAACAAGGTTGACCGAAATGGTTTCCGGCGAGATTTCTCCTGGGGCTTGGGCTCCTACTACTACGCTGATCGGGTGGCCTCTACACTGGGATGCACTCGCCAGTGGGAGTTTTGCACAATGGACGGGAGCTGCACGTCACCCATGGGCCTCATGGAGATACTCCATAACGGAGAGGGCTGGCGGGAACGCCTGAATCCAAAGCAGGCCGCGGTTCTGGAGCTCCTCTCGAAAGCCCTGGAGCTGGATTTCTCGGCCATCGTGCGTACGCTTGGCGCTGGAATACTGTCAGCAAACGATCAGCAGGTGTATCAATTTTCAGCAGCACTGCGGCCGACACATTGGCATAGGGAGATCGCGAGCCTCCACAGCATTGAATTGGCGTCAATGCAACGGTTCTTGGCCAATTTCCCTTCTGTTCCCGTCTTCCCGATAGATGGAGTGGAAGGAAACAAGACTTCGCATGATTTCATAACCGAGCCAGAAGGCGAACTGCGGTCTCTATGTGGCTCGATTAGAATTCGGAGTGAGAATCACACTAATTTGAATGTGTTCTGGTTGCTACTGCTTTTCATGGTCGGGCTGTTCATCTTCGGCATCAGATACCTACTTCTCCCATTGCAGGATGTTTGGTTTCACCGAAACTTCAGAATACGTGACTATCCGCACGAACAATGGGAAGAAATTGCGCTTCTTTATGATAGAGAAGCTGGTGCTTTGAGAAGAAAGAATCCGACCGTAGTGGTATATGACGATTGTGATAGCCCATGGACAGATAATATATAGCTATATTGGCAAAAGAAAACTCAGCGGACAGAGGAAACTTAATGATCCAAGACAGCACCCATCTTATGTAGCTGTAAATGAGGAGACTAAGATTATGAGGGAGACTATTGATCATTCTACGAAGGGGTGACGGCGGTCTAGGGTTTGCTACTGAAGTCCACCGTGTCCATTACCCAGGTAATCATAATATTTGATTTTATTTAATTCGAAGATTCCAACCGTGACTTCCTGGAACTAATTTCGCCTCTACACTGTTGTTAATCTTCGTGCCAATGCCTCTCGTCCTGAGACCAGCTGCTGCTAAAGCCCACGTTTGGGACGAGTTATCGTCGTCGTCACCATAGAAAGCGAAGAGCTCCGCCATATTGGAACTCTTGACGATGCCAACACTCATTCTAGCTGTCTGGACAATAACTGCAATCTGAAACACGACCGTCAAAAATATCTGGGTTGCCAAGAATGAGAGCCATTCCCACCGGACGACAATGTAGGTTTGCATCTCATAAGCCGATCCACGAACTGTTCCGCTCTTTTCGGTGGCTCGAAGACTTTGTTTCAGCCATGTTAGTGAATTATAATACTCGGAAATAGATGGATTCATCTTGGCTTACTGAGTCGTCATGGCATCTGCCAGTGATTGGGTGAGCTTCTCAGTGTTGCTCCATAGTTCCCTGTCAAGCTCTTCTTCAGATGGATCTTCCCCAGCGGATTTCCTCTCTGCAGAGGATGCTTGATACCCATAGAATAAATTCGCCAATACAACCGCAGGAAGCACAGATTCGTCACCATGCACGGAATTACTCGTGCCCCGCAAGTCGTATTTGATCTTTTGGTTCAGGATATACCTCAAGCGATCGGAAACGTTGAATAGCTGTTTCCCGTCATCGCTCTCCATCGAAAACGAGCTATAGTGGCTTGGCTGAGGGTCGCCATACACCTCGTGGACTCTTGTCGCTGTGGTACTAATCCGCGTGTCTGAAGTGGCGTTTGTAACGTCAACGCTGAAGGTGTTGATACAAAAGTGCCAAAAGACCTCGGTGGCACGGAAGCTCGCAGGGACTGTTGGAGATGCAAAGTTGGAGTAATGTATGTAGAACCGGCTGAATGCAGTCCGCAGAACGGCATCATCATCAGACAGGGCGAATGAAGTCAACTTCTCTGTCTCGCCTTTCTCGTACGGTCTGTCTTCCGGCGAGGTCATGTTCAACCTGAAAGAATCCAGATCAAAGACGTTCAAGGCACTATCTTTCCCCGGCAGCGAAACATAGTACTGTGCTCTGCTACCTTGGCGCGTAGTCTCTTTTCCGCTCTTCAACTGGAGGTGGCCGGTAACATTACTCATGGTTCTACATACGGCCAAGGAGCTGAAGGATGGCCATTCGCAAAACTGAGATGGGCACTGAAGTTGTACCTGGGGCCATTCTGTTTTCACCGATTGAAGCAATCCCTGGTAGCCAGCCCGTGCCATCTCGCCCGCTCTTTGGTAATGATCTAGACATGATGTTCTTAACAAGCTTTAATCACTGTAGAAGGAATGATGAACTCATACCTAAACGGTTCTGTTTTCTCTCAGAGTCTGCTACATCGTAATGAAGAGCTACTGGAGCCTGGGGGTCTGAGTTCCCGGATGTTGTCGGCGTGCGGAAATCTTGATATGAAATGGCAGATTGCGTCGCAAAGGAGGTCAATAAGCTAGATAGAAGGACAATCAAGGCTGCCGAAACGACTGGAATAAATCTAGAAGGGATGTTAGTGCATTTTTTTCACAATAAGTGATGTTTATCCTCGACCAAAGCCCGGAAGAAACTGCATACTTTCCACGCATAACGGGGATCAGTCGCATGGATCCTATGGGACCTCTGCTAGCTTGATCAAACTTATATAGATCATGGAGCGGCCTTTGGCGAGCGGCCATCCAATTCCATTTAAGCTGGGAGATGCCTTCTTCGATAGGCACTACAGTCATGAACCGGCAAGCTGTGGCTAGAAGCGCGACCAATGTGTTGAGCGTCAAGCCCAGCGGTAGATTTGGTCTTAGCTGATGGTCGAAGAACTGTAGTAGAATGACTAGGGCGATGAACACGACTATGGCCGAGAAACACCATACTATCTCGGGGGCCCACGATATGAAGCTGTGGCGCAATCCTCGTTCCTTTCTTGTTGACTCAGGTTCTGCAATGGTTGTAGATATGCTAACCTCCTGGTCGGTATCTGATTTATGATGCAGCTCATTTTGAAGGTGCGATGCAGGTTTGCTGGTAGATCCAAGCGTATTATGAGTGAGGGTGCCATCTACATCGGAGAAAGACCAGTCCGTCCAAGACAATTGGCGATTGTTCCTTGGCCAACTCATTTATATTTCTCGGACGTCAATAATATTCGCCTTTGGATGAATTAATGTCGGGGCGAGGGAGAGATGATTCCAAACGCCAAGAAGTGAGTTGTGAGGATTTCATCTCCTTAGTCAACATGAGTCAAGGAGCGTGAGGCTATTTCTATTCCCTCATCGAAAAGATCGGATCGATAAATTTCGTACCAAGCTGAAACGAGCTGACTTCTCGGAAGGACTTTGGTCAATCATTGGATGAGGTATCTACAAATGCCGCCCAATGAAGATATAGCCGCCGGCCACAAGCATCCAAATGGGCAGGCGAATTGGTTTGCGGCCTGCATAAGGGCCGGCGCTTACCGCCCCCATCCAACTCAGATCGTTGCTGTCCACTAGTTTAAGTGAAAACGCCTTTCCCATGCATATAGAAATTAAATTTCCATGTAAGATGGATCTTGGCGTTGTCTGGTAGAGCCTTATGTTGACTCAAGGCTGTCCCACCGGGCTGCAAACGCCCGCCACCTCCCACTACCGCTTGGCACAAATAACGCACAGACTTCAACGTTGTGGCTGCTCTAAACATATAATGAAGGCCATTTAAGTTGAGCATCGGTTCGCTGACGATGCCACAACCTCTTGCGGCGCTTCTCCGCCCTTCAACTCGGGTCTGTCTGAGATCCGGCCTCGGCCGAACCTCCGGGCATGGCGGCCGGCGAGAAGTTCAAGGGCTGGCCAGGTCAAAAGGCACGAATAACGCCGATCGATTTTCAGATCGCTCTTTACATCAGCCCAGGGGCGAGGCGGGGAAGGCTTGCAGGGGAGTTGACATGGGCCCCCGCCTGGGTTGATCGGGACACAATCGCAAAAACGCGGACCCTTTTCAGAGTTGAGAGCTGATGATAAGGCTTTACATAGTGAAGAACTAGGGGTGCCTTTCTTACTTACATTCTGAGTTTCATAACCATCTGTGTTACCTACGCTCATGCTTCTGTATCGCTGCTCCTATGCATAGACATGAATATTCTGGCCCTCGGTTGATTCAAATAACACGGCTGAGCCCTATAATGAGTAAGATGCCAGGCATTACTATGATATGGTGTTCCCTTTGTGTTAGCCTCCAAACGACTGACATAGAACATTGCATACCAAAATCTCTGTACACGCAAGTCAGGGACCTCACTTGTGATTATACTAAACACAATCATAAGAAAACTATTAATTATTATTATTTAGTATTTAGCCTGCTATTATGGATTATTGTCGATTTATTGTTTTGATAATGTGTTGAAATTCAACGCTGGTGGTTTTGGGTGTGTAATGTTTTATGTCAGTCGCTTGGCCTCTAACCTCGGTACGTTTATCGAATGTCATTAGAATTTCTAGTTTAACAACTTGGCCTTGAACCATCGGATTCCGTACGTTTAGTGGCGGCTCGGCATTTTAGGCAGCCTTAGACATGGTATGCTCACGGGCCGAGATACTGTGAGGGGTCCATTGTGCTTCTGTGAGTGTGCCACTCTAGCTCTAACCTTGGCAATCCTCAAACGCTAACACTAGCTTCCTTAACAGGGCAAAACAGGCTGGGGAGGATTTCATTTTATGCAAGGCTGCTACGACGATGACACGCAAGAGGTGTTCCGGCTGAGACATGGTTTGGCTTCCAAGACATCCAACTTACGTGATTTCAAGGCTGGAACAGAGCTGTATCTTGAGCTTCAGGTGTGCTTGAGTGATTCACCCCACCAACGTACGTCATCAGAATGCTTATAAACCCTGTAATTCAGGGGCTGAAATGCAAGCCATGATCCACTCAGGTGTTTCGCATGAACCGTGGTGAGACTGTGATTCGTTCCTGTGCCTCTCCGGGTTATTTTTAGACAAACGCCTAAGAATTGGCTTGGCCATTGTGAACAGGACGATGGGTTTATATGAACACAATGAGCTGACCATGCGGGGTTGCGCGAGCTCTCCTCCATCTTCAAAACATACCTGCGACTGACGGCTGTCTCTTAAGATGTCGGCAAAGAAAGCAAGCATCAGCAAAGATCTCGGCATCGAGACCGACCGAACGACCTACCGCCCTGGCGATACCGTTAGTGGGGTAATTTACCGGGCCAACACCATTGTGAGCACTGAAGCTACCATCGACGTCGTCTTCCATGGCCGCTCCAAGTCCTATATTGACTACAGGTCTGGCGACGTGACCTACACCTACAAGGGCGAGTTCGCGCTCTTCCGCCAGGAAAAGCAGATATTCCAGGGCCCTTTGCACATCCCAAGCAAGGATCGTCAGCAATGGCCCTTCAGCTTTACGATCCCCACCAATATCGATGCGCGACTCTACCCCGGCGAGTACAGCCCAAAGCTGTCATTTATCCCCTTAGATTCGGACTCGGTCGGCAAGCGAGAGCTCCCAGCATCGTTCAGTGTTTCCAATGGGGGAGCTAAGGGCACCATTGAGTACTTGTTGGAGGCTACCCTCAAGTCCGAAGGCCAGGGCTCGTCGTCGACCGAAAAGGCCGTGCTGCCAATCCGACTTATCAATGTCGACCCGAACCCGCCCATCAGCGACTTCGACTTTGAAATCACCTCACATGCGGAAACCGTCTGCTCGCAACGTCTTGTCCCGGGCAAGGAGAACGCCGAGCTGTCCACGTCTGATAAGATGAAGAAGTTCTTCGGCACCTCTTCCGTGCCGGTGTTGGCTTTCAACCTTCAGGTTCAAGTGCCAAAGGTAGTTCAGCTCGGCGACTTGCCCATCCCAGTATATATGCGTGTTATCCCCAATTGGACGGAGACCAGCGAGTCCATCCGGAACGCGCCCCAGAAGGCCAGGCTTGCCAGCTTCAGAGCCAGCTTGAAGTACGAGTTCGATGTCGTCGGCTCAGACTCGGGCGACCCATACACAGACTATGCGTCGGATAAGGTGGAACTACTCAACGATGAGGTCGGAAACGACGTCGTCGAGATCCCGTGCACAACGGGCGACAAGCCTCCGCCTACAGATATCGGCACTGCCATTCGTCTGCGGCTTGGTGATAAGGCGCTTCCCAACGTGTCCACCTTCAACATCAAGACGACCACCCAGAAGCTGTCATGGAAGGCCACCTGCAAGATCGCCAATGAATCTTTTTCTGCCAGCGGGTCAAACGAGGTGACGATCCTGCCGGCAAGTATCGACTCACCACCGTCATGGATGGCGCCGCCTGACGATGACGTGCCTCCACCGAGCTTTGCCGATGTACAGAGGCAGGATGAGAAGAAGGGATTTTCGGTGTCGAGTTCCGAATACCCAAAGGAGAAGCAGTAGTGTAAGGTAGGGTTTCTCTTACCTACCTAGTGTTTCTCTCGCGAGGAAGAGTGCTGGATGTAGAGTCGATACCTATATGCAGCATACCCCCAGCACTCTCCCGTTGACGGCCTTTTCTCCCATGCTGAGTTTTCTTGTACCTTATTTGTTCTTGACGTAATGAAAGAAAAACTATTGGCGCTTCTTGTGCTCGCATATCCATTTGCCCTCGTCTTACAAAAAACAAAACCCTCTAAAGCAGGCAGTCCTATAAACTCCCCGCATCGCATTCAAGCAATCAAGCCCCAGAGCATTTTCCCACTCACAGAAAGCCCATATCAGCGTCGGCCACTCATAATCAAGCTTACTGCATAAGGTGGCATTCAGTCGTGGCCAACCAGAATGCATAGAGTCATGTGAGTGCGCCTGGACGAAATGCCTACATACATAGAGCGGGGTAGAGGCTGGGCGGCCACCGAATTTCCTCCCGTCACTGTTGCCATCCTGAAAGCTCTGAAAAGGTGTCTTCGTAATTATGGCTGAGATCTTTGGTCTTGCTGTGAACGTGGCAACTGTTTTTGACTTATTCATCAAAGTTGGCGTGCAGTGTTCCGAGTATTGTGCTAGCGTCAAGGCTGCGCGACCTGAGGTTCGATCCATTCTCAAAGAGGCCGACAGGCTGGCGGTTACTCTGGGAGAGGTCAACCGCCTCCTCGACAGCCCAAATGGCCCCAAGGTCGAAGCGTCACAGAACATACGCAGTTGTGTTGAGGATTGCCGACTGCAGTGGATGCTCCTCGTTGTCAAGCTCCAGCAGGGAATGGAGGCTATGAGCCTAAAATGGCCATTCAAGAAAGGCGAAGTGGCCGGTATCATCACGAGGATGGAACGATGCAGGACATCCATGTCTCTGGATCTTCAGATCCATCAAGCGTATGTATTACCACCATGGCCCTCAAACCCACACTACTAAACAAATACCAAGAACACAGATAGCTAGCGTTCATCACGAAATTATCTTGGCCAAGCTTCGCACCGTAGAACGCGCAGGTTTCGATGCTCATTCCGACGCTGATAACGCGAGATGCTACCAAGGCACCCGTACCAATCTGATAAACCAAGTACTCGCGTGGGTTGATTCCGACAATAGCAAGACCATATTCTGGCTGAATGGCATGGCTGGCACTGGGAAGTCTACTATCGCGAGAACAATATCCCAGGAGCTTGCAGATAAGAACAAACTCGGTGCCAGCTTCTTCTTCAAGCGTGGCGAGGGCGATCGCGGTCGTGCGACATTTTTCTTCCCCACGATAGCTACTCAGCTTGCACGTCAGATACCATCATTGGCCCCGTTCGTGCGTAATGAGGTCGAGGCCGATCCTTCTATCAACAACAAGGCCCTCAGCGACCAGTTCGACAGTCTCATCGTGAAGCCGATACAGCGGCTCCCCAAAGCCTCCCAGCGGCAAACTCTGGCCATAGTTGTTGACGCACTTGACGAGTGCGATTACCTTGACAATGTGAAGAGAATTATTCACCTACTGTCCCAGGTGAAGAACTTCTCACACATTTGCCTAAAGGCTTTTGTCACCAGTAGGCCTGAGTTGCCTATCCAACTTGGTTTTAATGACATTGTCGGCGAGTACACGGATCTGCTTTTGCAAGATATTCCTAAACCAATTATCGAAAATGATATCACGGTTTTCCTGGAGCACGAACTTGCTGTTATCCGGCTGGATTACAACAAAGCGAGGCCAAATCGGCCGTTGCCACCTAGCTGGCCTGGACCGGAGCAAATCCAGAGGCTTGTTGAAATGGCTATTCCTCTCTTCATTTTTGCCGCCACCGTCTGCCGCTTTATCCAGGACCGAAGGCTCGGTGGTCCAAGAGACCAGCTGGAAAGAATCTTGAAGCGCCAGGGAGATCAGAAGTCTAAACTCGACGCAACCTATCTTCCCGTCCTTGATCGGCTTCTTGCGGGGCTGAACGGGTCACAGAAGAATGAGGTAGTAGGAAAATTTAAGAAAATTGTTGGCTCTATTGTCATCCTCGGTAGTCCTCTATCGTCATACTCGCTCGCTCAGCTCCTGGACATCCCTCTAGACGCCATCGAAGACCAGCTAGACTACCTTCACTCCGCCCTTCGAATACCCCTGGATTCAAATGAACCAGTACAGCTGCTCCATCTATCCTTCCGCGACTTCCTCGTCGATCCTGAGAAAGGTGGGAGGCCAGAAGAGTTTCCGTTCTGGATTGACGAGCACCGGACCCATTCCCAGTTGGCACTCGACTGTCTAAGGCTACTTTCTACGGGAACCGCCCTCAAGCAAGATATCTGCAACCTAAAACACCCAGGAATGGCTCGAACTGAGGTCGATCAGAAGACCATTGATGCCTGCTTGGCGCCTGAAGTGCAGTATGCTTGCCGCTACTGGGTGTTTCACTGGAAGGGGAGCAAGCAGACGATACAGGATGACGACCAGGTTCACAGATTTCTAACTTCTCATCTCCTTTGTTGGCTTGAAGCTTTGAGTCTCTTGGGGAATATGTCAGAGAGCCTGCTAATGATAAACGATTTGGTGGAACTACTTCATGTAAGCGAATGGGTGATACTCTATTGACAGATGAACTGACCAAATTTCCAGGATTCAAATAGCTGTGAAATAGAACGCTTTCTCCGCGATACACAATGTGTTATAACCAGCTATGGATCGGTCGTTGACTCCCGACCCCTTCAAATCTACTGTACAGTAACTGTCTTCGCGCCTTATCAAAGCATTGTCCGAAGGACTTTCAGCCATTTATTTCCAAATTGGATATCGTCGCCACCACAGGTAGAGTCCAGCTGGGGCGCATGTCTAGCAACGCTCGAGGGTCACAGCGCTGGTGTTCATACAGTTGCATTCTCGCCAGATTCAAGCTGGCTTGCATCGGGTTCAGAAGATCACACAGTCAAATTGTGGGATGCAAAAATAGGTGCCCTGAGGACGACACTCAAGGGACATATTGGAAAAATCCTCGCTATCGCGCCCTCACCAGACTCAAGTCAGATTGCATCAGTGTCAGGCGATGGAACGGTAAAGCTTTGGGATACGACAACAGGCGCTTGCATCACAACATTTGATATCAAATCTTTTATGGTTTCAGTTGCTTCTTTCTCACCCGACCTACGTTGGCTCTCATGGCCAAGGCTATCCAACGGGGATTTGAAGTTGTGGGAAATCGGCCCAAGCCACGATACCGTGTCACTTGAGGGCCATATAAAACCAGCCCACGCGATTTCGTTTTCATATGATTCAAGCCGTCTTGCATCAGGTTCGGAGGATCGAACGATAAAACTATGGGATATTGAAGCTGGCATTAATCTGGCAAAATTTGAAGGACATAGTGGCCATATTTTCTGTGTCGCATTTTCGCCGAACTCACACTGGCTTGCATCCGGTTCTGCTGATAGAACTGTGAAGCTATGGGACATAGGAACAGAGGCCTGTGTCGCAACATTCGAAAGCCATCGTGACTATATCAGCAGCGTTGCATTCTCTCCTGGCTCTAACTGGCTTGCATCATCTTCCGAGACTATAAAGCTGTGGGATATAGAAACAGGCGTCTGTAAAGCAACATACGAAACCCCAGGCGGTATACCGTCTACGATCGCTTTCTCTCCTGACTCGAACCGGCTTGCATCAGGATCAACTAGCAACACTATAGGGCTTTGGGATATGATACGCACTTATAATGAGGCACTTGAAAACCACACTGTTAAAGTGTCTATTATGGAGATCTCTCCAGACTCGAGATATCTTACAACACTGGCATCAGATAATACAATAAGTTTATGGGACATAACGGGTGCCTTTATAAACATATTTAAGGGTCATAAAGATACTGTTTCCTGTATTAAATTCTCCCAGGACTCAAAATGGTTTGCATCAGGCTCACATGATAGTTCTATAAGATTATGGGATATTGCTGGGGCCTATAGAGCAACGCTTCGGGGCCACTACGCGAGCGTTTCTCGTATTGCAATATCTCCTGATTCAAGCTGGCTTGCATCAATCTCAAAAGACAAAACTATAAAAGTCTGGGATACAGCGACAGCTACCTGCCTGGCAACTGTTAGAGATTCCATTGATCATTTACTCTTAATAAGAATCTCACCGGATTCAAGGTGGTTTGCATCAGGGTTAGTTCATGGTAGAGTGAGGTTGTGGGAGAATACAGGCGCCGGCATGGTTACACTCATAGGTCATCATAGGATGATCTGCGCGATTGCAATCTCTTCGGACTCGAAGTGGGTTGCATCAGCCTCAAGAGATAAAAGCATAAAGTTATGGGATATGACAGGCGCATGCACAGCAACACTCGAGTGCCCCGTCAACGATAATTCTTGTCTTGCATTCTCGCCGGACTCGAACTGGCTCGCATCAGCCTCATTTGGCGAAACTTTGAAGCTCTGGGACACAGCGACTGGTGCTTGTGTAGCGAACATTGACTACTACATGACAAAAGAACTACATCTCGAATTCAGTCGAGACGGTTCCAAGATTTACATGGGTACAGCTGCATTTACCCTTGCAGACTATATATCACCGTCGGTGTCAGGGGCAGATGCTGGTCTGCGAGATGAACGCTGCGATATTGGAGTAAGCCTAGACGGCAACTGGGCGACTTGCAACTCTCGCAATATTCTGTGGTTGCCGCCGACATATCGGTCTCGTGGCTTGCGTGTGGTAAATTCGACATTGGCTTCCGTGCGTGACGATCATGATGTCTTTACTATAACCTTCAGATCTGCAACGGCTATTGAGTCATGAATGATTCGGTCTCTTTCATGCTTCTGTGGTCGATCGTGTAGAGCTCCACCGCCCCATCAAGGTTGAATTCTCCAACCAAAAAAGACGATGCGATCTTTTCCCGTCAGTGGCTACCTACATGTAGGTAGACCATCGACAGAAATCATAGCCTGAAACAGTCGTCGAACGTCCAACACGACTATTTTCAGAGAGCAATCTTGCAACCCATTTTTAAATTATACTCAATGACACGCAGTTTTAGAGGGCAGGGAATGGAACTGTGTTCATGCGAAGGCACAACGAATCACACTCTCACTTAACATAATTCAAGGGCCTTGTCATCTAATGCTATGCTTCCATCTAACTCTATGCGATCTATATGCCGTCTTTGTTCGATAAAATCATGCCCAGGATGCAAGGGCAGGCGAAAGGTAAATAACAAGTAGCCACAAGCACCACAGCTGCAGCACCACCTCATCCCATTTCTGACCCCATCTCGCCAGCGCCAAGCTTCCAAGCGCTACACCGAGCACAATCGAAGGAGCCCAGAACCAGATCGATGTGGTTTCGGTAGCCCAGAACCAGGGGCCCAGAACCGACCAAAGGAGGACCATGCTCGCGACGCTCCACCTGGCAACACTCTCCCCGTATACAATTGGGATCGTCTGGCGTCCCCTCGCTCTATCTCCTTCCAGGTCTGGGAGATCCTGGCTATGGACTGTAGTAGACACGATGAGCCCAGTCATAAAGAGCCAGTTGTAGGCTTTGGGGAGCAGGCTGCCCTCGCCTCCGGCCAGCACCGTGAGCGCACCACATCCAAAACTCATGAGTCCGGTGCCGTTGAGGGCGTTCCGCATCCAGATGCTGGCGCTGCTCCCCTCGAGGTCGTTGTACATCCACACAAACACCACGAGCATCGTCATCGGCACCAGGGCTCCGAACAGAAGTGACGCCGCCAGCGAGAGCGGGATGATGGCGAGGAGCCACGATCGTGCCTGCGATCTGGAGATTCGTCTCGAGGGGATGGGCCGCCACGGCTTGTTGACTGCATCCTCCACGACCGAGTCTGGCAGGCTCTGGTTGGCGATATCATGGAGTGCGCAGTTGAGCCAGAGCCAGAATAGCATGCGCGGGATGTGGGTGAGCAAGTATCCCAGGTCGGGGGGAGTGTTGGAGTCGAAGGATCTGACGCATTTGACCGCTGGGGGTGCGTATACGGCAGCAATGGCGAAGATGCTCTGGGGTATCGTCATGGTTTTGAAGTCGCTCTTGGTGAAGAGGAAGAGTGTCCACAGATGGAAGCCGATACTCCTAGCCTTTGTCTTGTTCAAGTTAATACAGTTTACCTTTGGTGACGCTGTATGTATTCATCAAGATAGTTGGTTCAAGTCACTTACTTTACCTGCGCTAGGCGATGAGCCCGTAGATTTTGGCTCATGTTGAGCCAATGTTATCTCTACTGACATGGTTATTTCTTCAAGAATGGGTAGGGGTAATGAAGATCAAAGAACTACAGAGATGAAACCACATCACGGGTAGGACATACTGCAGCTATTTATGCCATTAGCGACCATACATTCGGTTTTGGCAACTTGTGCTATATACATAGTAACGTATGGCATTAGTAGCTTGTGTTTCTTCTCTTTCACCGTCGCGATTCCTCCAATTGTAATAAGAGTAGGCATCTCCGGCCCTAGGTTTGATCACCGCTTGTTCGAGTCCCTCTCGGCCATATATGCCATCACTCGCTATTCCGCCAATGACGATATGGTAGGGACCGCCGGGGCATATAAAGCTTCCGGCCTCGGTTTGGCTAGTCTGGACGCTCTAGTTTCAATCCTAGCTATAACACAACTTAGCAGAGCAGGGGAACCACTCCTCCGGCTCTTGTAGCCAATAAAGCCTTGCGATACATTGATAAAGTCAGTTTGTGAACTCCTATCGCCTTCCTAGAATATATTCTCCGTTTCTTCTCCCGAGCGTGATTATGTACATATTAAGAAAGTCCTCCTTTTGAACACGTGCTTTACCCTTGTACGAGAATGAACCATGGCAACATTAGAAGCTACCAGAAACCAAATAAAGGATATAACCCTAACTGGGATTTCGCTGGCTCGGTTCTTTGGTTCATGTTCCTACGTTGACGTACACAAGCGCCTACAAGATTGGGAGGATTCGGGGGGATCCCAGAGTGGTTCCTTGGTTTTAAATGGGTGGACAGTAGGATTCACGCAAGAAGAGGTAAAGATCGCAATCTGCACTTAGCGAGACGCGACATCTTACTAGTAAACGGAAATTCGCATTTCAGGCAATCATGGCCAATGGAATACCCTTAGCCTAGAGTTGTCACAACAGATCGGTGGTGGGGCGTCAATGCTCGAGTGGCGGATTACGATCCTCCCACCAGACTGCGAGGAAAGTGATGAATCAGATAAACATAGGAGCGTAGGATTGTTAGTCAAGTCTCGTGTCCCAGCTAGCGTCGGGCAGGTTTTCATATACGACATTCTCTGCGCTTTCTTGCCATATCTAATATGGTCCGGCAAGGTATATTTAGTCACATATCTTGCTATTGTGCTACTTGTATATAATTGTTATGCACGAAAACAAGACCATACTACTACCCAGGCAACGTAAACACATCACCTCAATTTCAGTTTCTAAAACTGCCTATCTAGCTGGAAAAGAGGGAGTGTTCGTCGTCGAGTGGGTCAGCGTTGCCATAAAGCGATGTGAAGGATGCCAAAATGTTTGCATCCTTACTAGCTTTAGCCAAAATGTTTGCATCTTCATTAGCTTTACTGAGTCGGGCTATGTACTATAGAAAAGATTCTGCACGGTAGTATCCTTGGTGGCAAATGGGCCACGAAGTTGAGGTTTCGAATTTTCACAACCACTCTCTAATTACAATGGCTTGAGGCATGACAAAAGCGACGACGACGCACAATAACAATAATATTGAGAGAACTTCAAGATATACTAATTTATATCTCTCTTGAAGCTAGAATTAAATATGGGAGGAGTTTGTAGTGAAAAAATCAACACCCACTCTGAGGCTGCTCATTGGTCCAACGGCACCTGAAACTTGACGACAGCCGCGCTAGAAGGCCATCACGAGATACCGTCGCTCGTTTAAATAATGCCGATATTAATCATCTAGATCATGGTTCATGCAATGCAAGATTGGCAGGTGCTAGGGGCAGCTCAGGGGTCAGGATCCTAGAGATCTACGGAACATCCGTTGCTTATGACGAGATCTAGAAGCATCCAGTGTACTAAGAACTTTCCAACACCAACGGCGCACCTACTTTAGCGTACTGGATCAAGTAAGCCCCATTTTACTCGTTCCGTATCACCGCATGGCTTACGGACACGGCAGAGGAAAGGCTCATCTTCACATAAGGGACCTTGTCTGTCGTCATTCTAGACATCGTGAGATCCGTCATCATTTACATTGTGTCATTTGTATACAGTTATCAATCGTGCGGAAAGCCTCAAATATTCCAGACCTGCAACCCATATCATGAACACACCATCTCCTCGAGGCTAAATGTCCGATACTCCAATATTCACCTGATTCTTTCCGATTATTCTGTCCTGTCGTGTCAGTGATGAGCCCTCAGTCAAGACAGAAGCTAAGAATGATCCATTTATTGCTGGATGCAGGTGATCGAGGACGATCTTGGCTCTAGGTCGTGCACGTTCCACCTGCATGAGGGCAGCACACGCAGGTGCATTTTAGCTACGGCGGGAGGGTCCAAGCAAACGGCTGGATCGAGGCGGGCCGATCAGGGACCGTTTGTGCAACCTGGTGGCGTTCTAGACTCCCGTTGGGGGACGTTGGAGCATCACCATTCGCCGAGGATCCTGCAGCCATCGATGCACACCAGATGCACCATCAGATGCAGCCATCACGGGTGCGGGGCAGAGTCTCCAACACTAAGATACCCTCTTGACTCGGTACTGTATGTACGTATCCATACATCCTCTGCAAATAGCCTGCGAGTGGGCGGCGCATAATGACGACACTGCTCCCATTACCACTTGGCGTCAGCAGATGGGGAGATCCCAGAATAGAAGGCCCAATACAGGCAGCAGGGGTCCAGCGCTAGCTGACGGGTTGCAGATCGCAGAAAACCACATACGTCGCTTCTCCAAGCCGTCGAAAATGAGATGTCGGAATCCAGGCCATTCCACGCCAGCATCTAGGGTAATGGTCTTGTCCCCAGCCGCCTTCGCCTGCTCTCTCCCACCATGGCCGCGCAGCCTCGCCAGCCCGACCACCACATCACCACCAAGGGCTTTCCTACCCCGCCGCAAAATGAGCTCACCACCCCCTCAGCAGTGAGCACCGCCGCCTACAAACCCCTCCTCCCCAATGAGATCCGCATCCTGGAGCTCCAGCCCGGCGCCGTCCAGAGCGAGATCCAGTGCCGCCTGTCCACCGCGCGCTTTGACTACTACCGCCCCTACGAGGCCCTTTCCTATGTGTGGGGGGACAGCCCGGCCAGGCGCCCGATCAGCGTCGACGGCGCCCGCGTCCATGTGACGGCCAACCTCGAGGCCGCCCTGCGCCAGCTGCGCAAGGAGAAGTCGGTGCGCTACCTGTGGGTGGACGCCCTGTGCATCAACCAGGCCGACCCGGACGAGAAGGAGGCCCAGGTCCGCATCATGTACGACATCTACCAGCAGTCCAAGGTCGTCGTCGCCTGGCTGGGCGAGGCCGACGCCGAGAGCGCCGCCGCCATGAGCCTCATCGACTCCTTCGCCGGCTTCCTCAAGAACATGTGGTCCAAGGACGACAACTGGCAGTCGCGCGCCACGGGCACCCGCGAGCGCCAGTCCGAGGTCTTTGCCCGCCTCGGCTACCCGCTCGAGAAGCAGAACTGGCCCTCCCTCTGGCGCCACCTGCACCGCCCGTACTGGTCGCGCATGTGGGTGCTGCAGGAGCTCGCCACCGCTGGCCACTGGAAGGGCCGCAACAAGCCCTGCATCGTCCAGTGCGGCACCCACATGACGTCCTTCCACAACCTGCAGATCGTCCTCGAGCAGGTCCGTGCTATCCTGATAAGAGGGCTCAAGCAGGAGGCCGACTCGGGCGCCTATCTCGAGCCCTTCAAGTCCTTCACAGAGCAGGGCAGCACCGAGCCGCCCGGGCTCGTCATGACCGAGCTGCTGACACGGCTGCATCGCGAGGAGCTGGATATCCTGAAACTGCTCTATCTCACAAGCAGGCTCAAGGCCACTGACCCCCGTGACAAGTTATATGCCCTTCTCGGCCTTATACCCTCAGCACAGGCTCTGAGACCCGACTATAAGAGATCCACCAGTGCCACGCTGATAAACCACGTCCAGAACTGGGTGGAGAGAGAAGGCACGCTGGATGTTATATTCTCAAATCGCCTGGACCCGTGCGCCTCCGGACTCCCGGGCTGGACGCCGGAGATCCGCGCCGAGCACCAGGCCTACAGCGAGTGGGAGAGGATGGGGGTCGACACCCGCTTCCGGGCCGGGTACGGCAAGGGCGCCGACGTCGAGATCTTCCAGCCGTACCAGAACAACGGCGAGACCCCGCCCATGATGCGCGCCCGAGGCATAGTCATCGGCGAGCTCGAGTCCATCATCGGCCCGTCCAAGTCCGACGAGTCGGCGCCGCAGTCCACCACAAAGATGACCACCGGCAGCGACGCTGGCCAAAGGTTCATCGACACAATCTTCACGCCGCTGCAGGAGTTCGCGTCCCGCATCAACGACGGCACCCCAGAGTACGAGACCTTCTGGCGGACCCTCACCCTCAACGTCGACGACCGCTGGCCCCCCGGCCTCGCTCCGGACTCGTTCCGCGTAGGGAGCCTTCTCGCCTTTAGCAAGCGCGGGCAATCCCCGAGCAAGAAGGACGTCTGGTTCCACAAGATCAAGTCGTGGTTCAACAAGAAGGAGCTCAACATGCTCGACTACAGCAACTCCTCGGGCTCGCGGGGGCCCTCCATCGACGCCCGGGTGCGCTTCATGCGCCACATGAGCAACTGCATCCACAACAGGACCTTCTTCACCACCACGTCGAGGAAGTTCATGGGCCTGGGCCCCTACGGCGCGCAGAGGGGGGACATCGTCGTGGTGCTGTACGGCTCAAAACGGTGCGTCGTGCTGAGGCCGAGGGGCGCCGAGGGGGGAGGCTACGTCGTCATCGGGACGGCGTACGTCCACGGCGTCATGGGCGGGGAGCTGCTGCGCCGCGACAAGGTGGACGAGACGGTTTTCAACTTATACTAATGCCTAACTTTGGCGAGAGTGTACGAAATTTAGGGGTAAAGCTACGCAAAGTTGAGTATCATTATGCCAGGATGAAGCTTACTAGAAGAGCAGACCAACAGACCAACAGCAGTGTTAAGATAGGAGGATGGAGTGTTTTCGACAGATGAGGTTAAGGTTATGTATTCTTGTGGTCCAAGGTTTTTTCGCATCGACCCCTGAAGTGCTCCAGAATATGAAGTTAGATATTCACAGTACATTTTTCTTATGAAGTTTCACGAGGATAACCCTTCAAATGTATTTTGCATGAGGCTCTAAGCCTCCAAGCCCTGCTTTCAATGGCAAGCCAAATAGACTAGCCATAAAATACGTTCAGTCTTTCTAGGATTGACCTTCCAAAACCTCATTGAAGCATATGCAGTACCCTTGATAACGGCAGAGCATGGACTACTCCCATTCGATACCAACAGGCTCCCCAACCATACTAAATATTAAACAACACCCATGGAGAGGTTATAGCAACAACCAAATCAATCTAACCCATAAACTGACGCTAGCCATCATCACGTCCGTTGCCTTCATATCACCCTTCACACCAGGAAATACATTAATCTGTATCTTACAAACTATTCTCCTGAAAAAAGAAAAACCTATTCTGAATGTAAAATCATTTCATTGGTGCAGACGAAAGTTCAATATAAAAGAAGCTATGTAGAACTTGAAAGTACAAAAACAAAATAGGATGCAAACCTACGTAGAGGCCTTCCCCAATTATCAGCGTTTCAACTCAAACAGATGAGTCAAAAACTTGCCCGGGTGCTGATCTCTGTCACTACAGATCCAAATTACATCATGCCATCATCAAGTGTTCCGAAGTACCTTACTTGTATATGTCATCAAGTGATCCGAAGTACCTTACTTGTATATGTCATCAAGTGATCCGAAGTCCCTTACTTCAATATGAACGTTGATTTCAAAGTGCGAGGTATTGGACTTGCCTAGATCCGCTCGAAGACAAAAGTCGCCTGAGGCAATTGTTGCCGAGCTGCTCTTGCCCGAGCATATAGCGTTAAGACTAAAGGGATCTCCAAGAGGGCCGTAGTCTTCAATGTTGGTAAAGGGATTAATAGCCGTCCGACATTCCCCACCCTCGTAAATACTTTGGAATTCATGTTCCTCGCGAAAACCGATGCGTAATTCTGCACTATCAACTAGATTGCAAACCAGGAGCAAAGACCGGTTCAGGTGGGAGGGATACTTGAACGGAGCGATACGGAAACGCACAAAACCCAGGAAGTGAGAAAAGCTTGGAAAAGAAAAGCACAGCTGAGGCTGGTCCCAGAATAGTTCCGGAACAGCAGCCATGTTGTCGACGGCGTAAGATCCCTTTAAGGCTTCATCAGAGCTGAAACGGATTCGTAACTCCATAGCTTCTGAGAGCGTTCCTCGGAATTTGTCACCCACGGTTCGTGCAAGATATATCGTGCGAGGGGCGGGAGCCGCAATCGTTGGGACCCTTGTAGAAAGAAGCGAAGGGGACTCTCGATAAAATGTGTCCAGTTCGCTCTTCAAATAAATACACAAACGTTCTGGTTTTTTTTGCGACGCCAGATCGTAACAATGTAGATCCAGCATGAACATGTCATCGTCAAGATGAGTTATCGCTGTATGGATCTTTACCCCTCTGTTTGTGAGACTGATTTCGCCACGAAATTGGAATTGATCTTTATTAAGTTCGATAAAGCCACAGGACCGAAACTCGGCGGCAGATTCTGCAAATATGCCTCGGTAAGGCTCACCGCGAGGACCTCGAAATGTATGTAAGCCATACAAAGGGTCAGGGTTGGGGGTCCGCCATGCGAATATGGATAAATCAGTCGTCATGCGCAGAATTTCTTCCTGTAGCCGAATGAAGGCTCTAGGCCCTTCGCCATATATCATCGACATGTTTATATCGAAAATTCCCAGGAGAGAATAGGCCTCGTCTTCAACGCGGGTTGTCTCCCGATTGGAGGCCCAGGACATTCGTTTCGCAATTGCGACGGATGAAAGAGGGCATGATCCATCCAGTATCTGGTGATTAATGCATGTGATATCCTGGATCACTCCTTTGAGATCATTTTTGGTTCCGATACGTTTCCAATTTTGGTCAAAAAAGACCAAATCCTTCGGAGCGATGAGCTCCTGTAAAGTCCACCCTCTAGTGAACCATCTGCAATTCTCAAGAGCAGATTTGTCAACAGATTGCCCAGCAGTCTGATCTGGTCGTAGATCAGAAAGATGAGCGAAGCAGAAAGCCGAATTCTTATACCAGCGGAACATGGAGTTGATGGCCTCAGAGAGCTCTGCACTAGATGACTTGTCTATACAGCAAGTGTCCACCCAGACGTAGCTCAGACCATAGTCGATCGTCATTTCGCAGGCTGAGCGTATCTTTGCGAATCCCAACTTCTTTTCCGCAGCCGTAGGATTTTGCATGTCGCTGAAGCTAACCTCATCTTCACCCCATGTATGCGACAGCGTGGCATATTTAACGTTCTGTGCATCCGGGTCGTGGAAGAGCTCCAGCTTGAGCGTATGAGCATTGAGTAGCCTCATGGTGTTTCTGGGAGTATGACAGAGAGGTCACCAAACTTTGGTGCGTGACGGAAGTAGTGATGATGGCAAGATAAAATAGGAGCCTAGGGTTGGAACTATAAACCCATAGTTGCATAAGTAGGTAGTCCTAAATATCGAGAACAGGTATTCAAACATGTAGGATACGGCGGTATGCGTGAAGTTAATCTGTACAGTACGGCCGGACAGGAGAGCATAAAGTCAGCCTGTAGGTGCCCAACCGTCCCTGTCTGGGTGAGCGGCATGAAGGCTGCCTTGCACCAGTGGTTCGCCTTGTGTTACCTGAGGCTGAGCAGGGCAACCTCCAGCCGAGCCCCTTGGGCTCAGAGCCGTGAAACAGCCCGACCGTATCCGCCAAGCAAGCCACTGGGCGACAGAAGAAATGAGACGCCATATTAAACGGAGGCTATGAGCAGACAACTTTCTGTAAAAAACGTGATAATAGGGCAGTTTTAAAGTTAATCCATTACCTCTGTCGTAGGTATTATTAGCCCTTCATAATTCGTCAATACTTGTCGCAGACTCGTCAATAAGAAGTGTAATATGTGAGTGTCTCAATTTCAATGCCGCCGGCTGACAGTCGACAGGGTCTCCTAAGCCTGGCACCAGTAAATACCCCGCGTTTCACAACCCCACCTACTTTGCCCACCTACAAATCAATGGGGATCAGCTACGAGAACACAGAAGAATAGGGTAATTCTCGTTTCCTATCCGCTGTTGATTCAAGGGGGAGTACTATGATTGTACGCCATCGGGAATAGTAAATCCAACATACTGCAGGCCCAAGGGAGCTGAGTGGCCACTCAGGTCGCAATTGGGAGCCAACTACAGCTCCAATTTAGGCTGCGGACTTGAGGCTCCAAGGCAAACGCAATGACGCCACCCCCACTACTTAATCTATGATACGAATACCGAGAGCTCCTAGCTAATTTCTTGCCACGAACTCTTCCTTTCCACCATTCCATCTCCCCAACCTATCTTCGCAAAGCCACTACGCAGCTAAGGAATCCACCAGTCCCCCAAGATGACGAGCATTGCCGCCATCGTGCAGGGCATGGCAAACGCCCTGCCCAAGCAGAAGGAAAGCGACGATATCTCCGACCTAGCCGGCTCCAACGAGGCCGTCGCTCTATTAGTCCATGCCCATCTCGCTTCTCTAGGCTTTCAGCTCTACGGATTCGACGAAGAAAAACCTTTTCGTAAGTCATTCCCAACCTTTCTGCGTTACTCCCAGCAGCGCTCATTGCTGACATCATTCCTCCAGCCAAAGCAAAATCTCAAGACGAAGCAGAATCTTCCGCCCTCCCGCGTCAATGGAACGACGGATTCAAATCGCTCAGCTTCGCCTACAAGCACGAGAAGTCTTCCATGAATCTACTTCTACGCATCGACCGGATGGGCACAAAAGTTAGCGTCCGAGGGTTCGCCATCGGGCACGATAAGATCCACGGCTTCGAGCGCCCCATCAAAGACATCGTCAACTCGAATAATCTCCCTGTGAGAATCACAATGACAGACGCCGGCCAGGAAGACCGAAGTGACCTCCCGGAGAAGCTGAAGAAGGTCTTTGCATCCGAAGACGCAATCAAATGTACGTCGCGCGCTCTACCGGCTTTACCTTACCAGAGCTTGACTAACCCCGCCACAGCCGTACTTGACGCTGTCATGACCGAAATCATCCAGAAGCTGTACCCCAGCCTTGACGAGAACGACCGCAGCACCGACCGCGCCGAGGCAAACGAACGACTACGAGAAGAACGGAGGCCGCCGAACGTGGGCCCATTCTCCGATCCCTCCCAGCCCAGCGTCCCGTATCCGCGACCCGGTCTCCTCCCCGAAGCCGCTCGCCCCAGACCTCCAGTCCCCGTCGGCGACTTCCCCCCTCCTGGCTTCGAAGACGAACATGAGATCAACCGCCCCGGGCGCGGCCTAGTCATGCCCGGCGGCGTCTCCCCCTTCAACATCGGCCGCGACGACCTCAACCCACCAGGTCTCGGTCCCCACGATCCCCTCAGAGGCTCCTTCGTCGGGGGCGGCGGCCTCCCACGACCCGGCGGCAGCTCCGGCATGCATCCCACGTTCGACGACCCCTTGTTCCGCGGACCCGGGAGAGGCCTTCGCGGAGATCCAGACCAAGGCTCCTACGATCCGCAGGTACCGCCAGGCGCACGATGGGACCCCGTCCACCCCAACCAACCCAGGTTTCCTGGCTCCGGCGGCGGCGGGCACAATCCGTTCGGCGGGTTCGGCGGGCCCGGGGGCGGTGGGATCATCTAATTATTTTTAATCACTTAATACCTATGTTACGACTCAATGAGATATGGTTTACTTTTCATGTATCACTAGGCTGCATTTTCTTCCTTCCCAAAGTGTATTTTAGTCCATCATGATGAAACGCGGGGCATGGGATTCTCGGAGGCTGCAATATTAACGCATTGCTCTTAAGCACCCGTCAGTGAATCTGCATGACCGTAGACTTTCTGTAAAATAGCTACCTTGACAGTCAATACCCAAATCAATTTCACATGAGGGAAACCGGCGACATGCGGCCGGCAGAGTAGGGTCTTCGTGATTCTTTTGCTACATGGTCCTACACAAGGGTTTCACGGGAAATGTATGCAAGTGTTATCGTGTGATTACGGAGCAGTCTTGTATTGAAACTTATTTTTGTCTTTATTCATGTCGCACTTGCGCCGAGACCTCATTCATGGAGGCTTGGTTTCTCACATATCTATCTAGAAGGATAAGCTGGATGCTATTATAACGCCAATCTGGCATAAAGTCGAAGTGGTCCCCCGTTGTGGAAGAGCGAGGGGAGGGGGTGGGTTGAAGTGAGAGCAATACGTATAGTGTATCGCAGCGGGGCTACTTGGGGTTCCTTGGAAACAAATTGTTGGGCCTCATTTCTCCCATATTCCTATCCATAGTTTTGAACAAGTATTACCGTGTAGTCCCCCTGGGTCGAATGAAGAGAGTTCGATCCCAGGGCATTGTTCGCGGGACAGTCGGATCTCTCTATTGTCCAGCCGAGCTCGCAAGCTGGTTGAGCTTGGCTTGCTCATCCTGCGTCAGCATGCCGTACCAGTTCTGGAAGTTGCTGATGTTTTCGCGGCCACAGCGGACGAAAAAGTCAAGGAGGAAACCTTGGGTCTCGTCGTCGGGTTCACGCTGTCCCGAGCCTTCGATAAAGGACATGAGATCGCCCTTGACCGACATAAGACCAAGGTCGAGGGTTTCGTCCTCGTTCTCCCATCCCTCATCATCGTCGTCCTCGGGGTAGTCGGCATTTGCAATAGCAGCAGAGGCGGCATCTGCGGCAGCTCGAGCACCGGATGCAGAGAAGAGCTCGTCGATAAGCAGCTTGATGATCTTAAGTGGTGCTGGGATGATTGTGTACTGGTCTGGGTCTGTAGGAACGCGCAAGATTAGCCGAGGCTGGTCATGACAGATACATTCGCATTAATGAAGCATACTTCGGCCAGCTGGATCAAAAAGAGGATCTCGGGCTTGGTACATACTCTGTCTTGCACGTGAGCGTGTCTTGATTCGCCCATCGTCGTTCATAATGAGCTCGCCCTTGACAGATATCTGAGCTAAGCGAGGATCATTCAGGCTGTAGATCTTGGAGAGAGCAATGACACTAATTACAGTTAGCAAGCTGGTTGTTAACGAGCGAAGATGATCTTACTTTTGTCGTATCTCATCATAGCCAGCAAAGGCAGTGGTATTCTCAAGCCACAACTCCATAACGACTTGCAAGCCGCTCTTGCCATTGGTTTGAGTCTGACTGAGGAATTCGAGGACATCAGAAGCCCCGTGGATAGATAGCCCAACAAAAACTAGACACAGCGACTGGATGAGAGTAACCTGTTGTGCCGACGCGAGTCTGTTGACCACGGCTTGCAACAACTGAGGTAGGAATGGCCCGAGTCGTTCCTGTCCCGCCTTTTCCACTAATTCGGCTGCGAGTCCACCAACTTCGGCTGCATCATTATCACTCATTGAGGGGCCAAGGAGTCGGTCAATGATATGGAGACACACTTCCAAGCCAGATCGTCCGTTCGCATCTTGCCACTCAAACAGCTGCTGGTGATCGTGGACGAGAATATATTTGACAGCCTCCGCGCCAGGGCGCAAGACATCACCCTCGGTCGACTCCATCAAGAGTCGAGTGAGCTTGGGGAACGTGGCCGTCACAAAGCCAGCAGGCAAAGGCGACGATGCGTACCTCACGAGCACTGAGAGGAGCTCAACGGCAACCTAAGACGAATTAGCCCGCGCTCGAAAAAATAAAAATCATAACAAGATAACAGAAAAGAAGACTTGACGAACCGTAACGAGAGGATCATCCTCTGTCAGATTGGCCACATCAAAGGCACCTGTGAGAGTGGGTATGATTTTCTGGCAAAGTGCCCCAAACGAATCCTTGTCAGAAAGGCTGCGGACAATTTCTTCGATGGCTTCAGACAACATAATAGTGACCTGGAGGTTAGAAGCTCCAATCTTGGCAAGAACAAATAGTAGATCAATAGAGGGGATGTCGTTCGACAGGGCAATTTGACAGTTCAGGCGGATGGCAGCGCGCAGTGCCTCACTAAGGGTAACCAACAGCTCGTCAGCATCCTCCATCTCAGCAGGGTCCTTTCCGTTCATGTAATTGTGGATTGCAGAGATGATGGAGAACTGTCGATCAACAGTGATCTTGTTGGCATTCATGAGCCCCTCGATAGCCTTGATGCAAGAAACCTGGACAACCTCGGCCTCTTCGCCAGTAATAGACTCGATGATGCGGTTAAGAAGAGTAGCCGGTGCCTCATATGCACGGCAAAGCATTCCTGCAACAAGGAACCCCCGAGCACGTAATAGAGCCTCCTTGGGGCGGCTGATTGCAAAGTCGATCAACTCAAGGTATGCGGCCGAGACGGGATCCGGGATGGGGACCCCAGTGTCGTGGCAGTCGCTAGCAAGCATCACAAACAGGT